GGCAGGAGAAGGAAGAGCGAACTGTAATCTTGGCAATGCCTATCACAGTCTTGGATATTCCCAGAAAGCCATAGAGTACCATGAACGACACCTCAAAATTTCCAAAGAAGTGGGAGACAGGGCAGGAGAAGGAAAAGCTTACGGTAACCTTGGCAACGCTTTTACAAATCTTGAGATCTCGGAAAGCCGTAGAGTACCTTGAACGAGACCTCATAATTTCTAGAGAAGTGGGAGACAGGGCAGGAGAAGGAATAGCGTACTGTAATCTTGGCAACGCCTATTACGGTCTTGGAGATTTCCAGAAAGCGTTACAGTACCATGAACGCGACCTCAAAATTGCCAAAGCAATAGGAGACAGGGCAGGAGAAAGAAAAGCGTACGGTAATCTTGGCTGCGCCTATCACAGTATTGGAGACTTCCAGAAAGCCATAGAGTACCATGAACGAAACCTCAAAATTTCCAAAGAAGTGGGAGACAGGGCAGGTGAAAGAAACGCGTATGGTAATCTTGGCTGCGCCTATAACTGTCTTGGAGATTTCCAGAGAGGCATAGAGTACCATGAACAAAACCTCAAAATTTCCAGAGAACTGGGAGACAGGGCAGGTGAAAGAAAAGCGTACAGTAACCTTGGCAACGACTATGACCGTCTTGAAATTTCCAGAAAGCTTTAGAGTACCATGAACGATACCTCAAAATTTCCAAAGAAGTGGGAGACAGGGCAGGAGAAGGAAAAGCGTACGGTAATCTTGGCAACGCCTATGATAATCTTGGAGATTTCCAGAAAGCCATAGGGTACCATGAACGACACCTCGAAATTTCCAAAGAAGTGGGAGACAGGGCAGGAGAAGGAAATGCGTACGGTAATCTTGGCAACGTTTATGACAGTCTTGGAAATTTCAGAAAGCCATAGGGTACCATGAACGACACCTCAAAATTTCCAAAGAAGTGGGAGACAGGGCAGGAGAAGGAAAAAGCGTACGGTAATCTTGGCAACGTTTTTATAAATCTTGGAGATTTCCAGAAAGCCATAGAGTACCATGCACGACACCTCAAAATTTCCAAAGAAGTGGGAGACAGGGAAGGAGAAGGAATAGCGTACGGTAATCTTGGCAACACCTATGGTAGTCTTGGAGATTTCCAGAAAGCTTTACAATACCATGAAAGACACCTCAAAATTTCCAAAGAAATGGGGGACAGGGCAGGAGAAGGAAAAGGGTACTGTAATCTTGGCTGCGCCTATAACAGTCTTGGAGACTTCCAGAAAGCCATAGAGTACCATAAACGACACCTCAAAATTTCCAAAGAAGTGGGAGACAGGGCAGGAGAAGGAAAAGCGTACGGTAACCTTGGCAACACCTATAACAGTCTTGGAGACTTCCAGAAAGCGATAGAGTACCTTCAACGGAACCTCAAAATTTCCAAAGAAGTGGGAAACAGGGCAGGAGAAGGAAAAACCTACTGTAATCTTGGCAGTGCTTATGACGGTCTTGGATATTTCCAGAAAGCCATAGAGTACCATGAACGAGGCCTCAAAATTTCCAAAGAAGTGGGAGACAAGGCAGGAGAAGGAAGAGTGTACTGTAATCTTGGCAACGCTTTTAGAAATCTTGGAGATTTCGAGAAAGCCATAGAGTACCATGAACAACACCTCAAAATTTCCAAAGAAGTGGGAGACAGGGCAGGAGAAGGCAATGCGTACTGTAATCTTGGCAACGCCCATATCAGTTTTGGAGATTTCCAGATAGCGGTTCACTGTTATAAGAATAGTCTCATTGCCTTCGACCATATCAGGGGAAATCTCATATCTAATGACGAATGGAAGATTAGTCTTGGGAGTACTTATAATGATATTAATTTGAAGCTATGGGGGCTGCAGTTGAAGGAAGGTAAAGTCGTTGAGGCACTTTTAACAGCTGATCATGGACGTGCGCAAGCCTTAAATGATCTTCTGGAGTTCAAATATGGGTTAAAAGGGTTATCTCGAGAAATAGGAACACTCTCTGCAACAACAACTGACATTCTTAGTTACCTACCATCAAATACAGCTTTTATAGGTATCAACGAGGGAGAAATAGTCCTCTGGGTGAACGAGAAAGGAAAAGAAATCAAAACTAGAGGAACTCAGATCGATATCTCCGTCACAACCTATTTTCAGTCTCTATTGGAGACTGTACATGAAGAAATAGGTGTGAGAGCTGATGTTAACTGTGAAGATCGCTCATTAAGGAACCCGAGCGATAAACAGCTAGCGGAAAAAAGATCCAGTAAGCCAAGGTCTCATTCCTCATCTTTTGAGACAAAGTCATTGCAAACATTTTACAATGTTGTTATGGACCCTATAAGAGACTTACTCCAAAGCGATGAGCTTGTGATTGTTCCACAAGGACCTCTTTGTTTGGCCCCTTATGCTGCTTTCATGGACTTGGAATCAAAGTTCCTCTGCGAAACTTTTAGAATTCGCCTACTTCCCTCACTTTCTAGTCTGCAATTAATCCAAAATTGTCCAGCAGATTGGCACAGCAAGACTGGCGCTCTTCTTGTCGGCGATCCGTGGGTACAGGAGGTAGTTTACGAAGGAATGACGCTAGAACAGTTAGAGTGGGCTGAAAAGGAAGTGGAGATGATTGGGAAAATTCTTCAAACTGAACCTATCGTTGGAAAGCAGGCAACAAAAGATGAAGTCTTAACACGTATCTCCTCGGTTGCTTTGGTGCACATTGCTGCTCACGGTAAAATGGAAACAGGAGAAATTGCCTTGGCCCCAAACACAACACGTTCATCCGTGAATCCAGCCAAGGAGGATTACCTCTTAACTATGAAAGATGTTTTAGAGGCGCAAATTAGGGCAAGACTTGTTGTACTTAGTTGTTGTCATAGTGCCCGGGGAGAAGTCAAATCTGAGGGTGTGGTCGGTATTGCACGGGCATTTTTAGGTGGTGGTGCTCGCTCTGTTCTGGTGTCCCTGTGGGCGATCGACGACGAAGCTACTATGCAGTTCATGAAAGTTTTCTACCAACAACTAGTCCATGGACGAAGTGCCAGTGAGGCTCTAAATAAAGCCATGAAATCCATGAGAGAATCTGACCGCTTTAACGCATTGAAGTACTGGGCACCGTTTGTTCTCATTGGTGATGATGTAACGCTCGAGTTTGAGGGCATCCAATAAATAGCAAGGTATTTTGTGATATATTTAAACCTTGGATCATATTACGTGCTTTATGAAACGTAATTTTAACAAGGAATTATTTTTGCCATTTTTTTGATCAACGAACTCAACCGGTGCCACGTAGCGTCAATCTGCCAATCACATGTCAAGTTCACAACAACAAAGGTGTCTGACTTTGGTAGTTCTTTGGCAGTTAAACACTAGGCTCCAGGCTCATGATTTTTTCACATTTCTAAGTGTCCGCGGTGGCCTCGTCTGAGTTCGTTCCACAGCAACTTACAATCGAACCTGACGTAAGCGACGACCCAAAATGCGAAGATCAAATTTCTGGTTCCTTATTTTACGGAAGGTGGTCGCTTAGTCAAGTCTCCTACAAATGGTAAATCCTCTACTAAGCCTTCCGGGGGTTTATTTATTTCGAGAACGTTCTTGAGGGGGGAGGGGTTTATTTACTTAAGGGAAGATTGTGATATCCATTCCCCGTAAAGAACTATAAGAACCTAAAGTGGAAAAGCTCAGGCAAATGAAGTCGGAGGTCATCAAGCCGAAGATCAAAATCAAATTCGAACTTTCAGCTCATGAATATTGGATGATCAGTCCACTTGAAATGTTACAGTCGTGATAAATTAATACATCTATCATCCGTCTAACAAAATTTTTGCGTATTCTTATTCCGGAGTACGATCAATCGAGCGCACTCTTAGAAGTCAGTTGTCAAAATGTTATGCCTCGCCAGATGAAATCACTATCCTTTCCTTTTGTTAGCTTGCTAATGTTGCTTTGTGCTGTTGTTGTTTTTGTCGTATAGGTATGATGAAGAATGCAGTGAAGCAGTTCCTAACTATCTGAAGTTGAAGTCAGTTTCTTGATTTTTGTCGCAATTTTGAGGTGGAGCGTTCCTCGCAGGAATAGGAACACTTTATCCAGAAGAGAAAATTAAATGCTGTTGCTAAATAAGTTGAAGCTTTGCGTAGTTTGAAACTGACAGTGTACGTTTCGTAGCTTATTTTACGACTAGTCGTGTGCACTTGAAACTTGTTTTACAGTCACCTGAAAAATATCAGGAATCAGTAGTCAATTTCTGCTATTTTCATTGATACCACATTGGACAGAGGCAATTTAGACTAGCAATTTAATATAGTTCGTCACTGTGATACTATTTACACAGTCGTAGTTTTTAATTCTTTTGGCAGATTGGTGTCTAGATTGGTCTCCATTCTAATACTAAAGTCAAATTCCCTGTTCAGTCATTATGTTAAATCACTAATGATTGCAGTTTTACATTTACTTGTCTTTTTGATAGATGAAGGATTTCTATTTCATAGCCCAGGCTTTTTTGCGTTCCCCACGTTGTTTTTACCATCAAGTTTTCTGTTTTCTCTTATCGACACCTTTTACATACAAGAGGTTAAGCCAGAGAGAAAAAAGAAAGACAACTAACTAGTGAACTGATTAAACTGCGTAATTGTTCAGTGCCTGGTTAAAACAAATTGAAGAGTCCGTTGATCTCTGTTATGTAGAAAAAGAATTTCCAAGTTTGATTTAAGTCTACTTGACTTTTAATTATACATCTGTAAAGAGAATACGTTTTACACCTGACCTAAATTGTACCTATAAAAATTAACTTCTCTAAATAAATTTATCGTTTTGTGTATCTACACTGGTGTCTATAATAAGTGTCAAAGCAATGATGTGGAACTTAATTGTAATGCTGACAAGGAACGTATACCTTCTTGCGTAAGGTTATTAACCACTGGCATACAAATGTGGTATACCTCACTGTAGAGGTGTCCTGATTGGCTGATCGAAATCTTGGTTAATAAGTTTTTTACACGAAATGGAAAATTGAACCAACTTAGATAAAATAAAAAAATAAATAGGATTCCTTATTAGACAGAACGTTTCTGATATAGGGTTGTCTATTGATACCACCTGTTGAATGTAGCAGGCGTAGCAACTTCAAAAAGCGTTGCAAGCGTAGTCAACATAGCAAGGGCAGAAAGTGTAGCAAGCAAACATAGCAAGGATAGTAAATATAGCAAATGAACTGTAGCAAGCGCAGCAAGTGTATCGTAGCAAGCGTATAGCAAACGTAACAGGTGTAGCTAGCAAGCGTAGAAATTGTAGCAAGAGTAACAAGTGTACTCATACATGAGGTAAGACGTTACCGTTAAAGCAAGCAATGGATACCAGGGGTTTTTCCCCCTCTACTTCGTTTAAACCACGGATCTACGTTTATATCACAGGTCCGCAATTCTCGAGACTCCCGAAAGACTTACATCATTAAAAATAATCGGATTTCTAACATTTTTTGACTATTTTTAGGAAAGCCCCGGCTATAAAATGGAAAAATATATTGGGAAAAGTGCTAGAAAACAAACTTGAAAAATTATCTTTGGGCATGAAACGTTTCCCCCAGTTTTGAGAGACGCACATCCTGTGGTTTTGATATTGTCTCATTCCGTTACTGCGACTTCACCAATTAAACGTCAGAACCTCTGGGAATGGCTGGAGTCCGGTTAATAGAGTTTTGGCTGTATCTTTGTCTACCTGTTATAAGAAATTCAAGCTAAATTCAGCCTCCAGCAAATATGAAAGCAGTACAAACCAGCTGCAATCCTTGCACGATTAAAATGGACAACCTTTCTCAGTTCCAGAATATTTTTGTCGCATGACATTTTACATTGAAAATCAGTACGTTTCCCGTCTTTATGCCCTTTTGAGGTTTCTAGTTTCTAAGTGGTACAAAGGAAGGTTGTTTAAAGGGACGACGTTCCTACCCCTAAACTGAACTATACCGTAAAAGATCCATTAAACCCCTGGGGTATGTGTGCGTCTTGGTAAATAAATGTGCCAAAATATATACATTACGATTTCGTCGCCGGTGTCAATGTCGATGTTGTAAAAGTGGTCCTAAACTTGAATAGAGAGCTTAGATTTACGCCCTTCTGCTTGATCTTGCCTGGGATAAAACGTTTTCAGCAAAAAATAATTGATAAAAAACCCTTCAAAGGTGTTGCCTATATTATGTGTATGATTGAACTAGATATGGTGCGCGCTTAGTAGGGTTGGGAGTAGTATAAGGTAGGGTAGGGTTGGGAGTAGTATAAGGTAGGGTAGGGTTGGGAGTAGTGTATAAGGTAGGGTAGGGTTGGCTAGAGACTATTAGTAAGGGCTTATAATCAGAAACTGCGCTTTTATTGGATTGTTCGCACTGGTGACTCATTTAACTTGAAGTTTACTCTGATGACCAAACGATTATTTTAAACTTGAAAGAAATTCTGCTGCCTCATACATACTTACACAGAAACCTCCTTAAGACCGTCACTATTTTGCTGCTAAAATTCCCTTTATATTTTCCTCTTAGAAATAACATTTAGTGTTTATTTATGTGGAGAAGGTAGGTGGCAATTTTATTTTGAGGCACTTTTGACGAAAAAAAACGTCTAAGTCCCTATGACATAGCTCCTCTGACATTTGATGTCAGAGAAAATTTATAGGTATTGCATGTAACAAGAAAGCGTCAAAGCAAAATTCTAACCCAAATTTAGCGTGAAGTGTTAACCGCTTTCTCGCCCGACACATTACGCTAGTTAACCTTAAAATCCAGTCCCAATCTCGACAAAAACGCGAGTCCCGTTTGCTACTAAACCGACTTGAAAAATACTTCTCGGGCCCTAAATCGTTTCAAGAGTTTTGATAAACGTACGGTTGCAAAGGTGTAGGGAGCTCTGAGAAAAGAAGGTCAGCAGTTTATTTCTGGTCAACTTAGACTTAGACTCTTAGCCGTGGACGTAACGAAACTTAAGCTTGTGTTGAGACTCATCGGTCATTGATACGTCAAACTTTGACCAACTTCATCTTACAGATGGGGTTATTATTATTTCCTTTATGACATTTTCTGTTTTACCATGTGAGTTTTAGACGGGTCAGTCTGAGGGAGTTGTGACTCATGTGTTAGCTCATCTACGGTCAGCGTTTGATCGAACATCTGACATTTAACAGTCGTCCATCACTATCAATCAACAAAAGTTATTTGCAATTGATGAGCCACGTTTTACCTGGATTCAGTGCGCATTCTACTACGGCTGTGCATCATGTTCAATGAGGAATCTACGGTGGCCCATATAGAGGACATTACAATTTTTTTTTTCGCTAAGTTATCGTGCGATTTAGTTTACTTTGTCTGAGAAAGTTCGAGCTCGCGATAGTTTTCTTTGACTGAAAAATTTATCTTTTTAAACTTCGAAGATCAAGCAAGTAATCTACAAACATGCAGCATGGCGCACACGTGTTTCGCTCTGCTAGTAATCTCTGCGCTATTTGCGTTAATTCATTTATCAAGCGCCGTCCTACCGCCTTATAACGGTGGTGATTTGCATCATGAAATAGCGGAGAGAGACGAGCTAATCAGGAGTTACTTCAGTATGGGTCTGAATTATTCTGAAATACCATTCTAAGCAAAGTAAAAAAAGGTGCAATAAAATAAAAGATTTTATTTCGGATCCAAAGTTTTCATCCAACCAACATGGATTTCATTATCCGGCATAGCTGTTTTTTTCCGACTCCACAGTTTTTTTCAAATGGATCCAAGGTTTTTATTCCTGAGATCCAAAGTTCTTGCCAGGGATCCAAAGTCATTACGCCGGATCCAAGGTTTTATTTCAGGATCCAAAGATCCAATCCAATATAATATTTCGATACTGGAATTTGAACACGTGGCAAGTTTAAAAGACTGTTGCTCGAAATTCTTGAATCAAGGAAAGAATTTTTTCTGTGCCGGTGTTTAAGATCACTTCTTCTTCCATAGGTGTATAGTGTCCTTCACTGTTTTAAACCAAGCTGTGGTCGCTGATCGAACTGAGTTACGCTTGATCACCTTAGTGTGCGATGATGCTCACAGTTGCATCTTATTAGCTCATTACTATCCCAGGCACTTAAAAGTATGGAGTGGCGTGAGGGAGAGTGTAGCCTGTGTAGCTGGCGGGATTATTGCGCCTGGGGTAGTTTCTAGACGGAAAGCCGCCACTCGAAGCGAGCGGCGAAACCGCGAGGGAGAAAGGTGAAAATCCCTCCTTGACTTGCCCCCAATCTTCACGTGGCTCGGCCGCCAAAAAAGTACAGCATCTGCCGCTAAATCGCCAGCTACGCAGGCTAAGGAGAGTGTGAGTCTCCGTTCCCTTCTTCGTGCTGATCCCTTCCCTTTCTTCTCTTCATGAGTCACCACTTTATGAATTAGGCACCCCATGTATGGTAATCATCCTAGAATACGAACAGTCTCTCTTTTTTCTCAGTCTGTCGAGCAAAACGCGCGAGGCACGCAAATGACCACGCGCGTGACTGAAGGCGCGAGACAGGATAGGCGCGTTTCTCGCCTCTTTTCTTGCATCTCTTGCCCGCGTGTACTTCCCTTACTAAATCGGAAGGAAAAGAGAGACTGCTCGCAGCCTTTAATCATCCGGAATCAGGGACATTTTTGCTTTTGGAATCACCCCGGAGTCTTGAGCTTTGGAATCCCTAATTTAGGTTTAATAAAAATCCGGAATTCTGGTATCAATAATTCCACTGACAGGGAATCCTGATTCCAGTACCTGGAATCTGAAATCCACAGCGTAGAATCCAGTCCAGTCCTGAGCATCCATGACTGTCTTGGATCACCTTACAGTATGGGGCGATATGGGCTTTGTAATTAAGAACAGACTAACATGTAATCGATCTTTGAGACCTTCCGTTAAAACGTTTGCTCAGCTAATGTCAAATGAAGAATGATAGAGTTAGTTCTCGCCAAAATAAATCATTCTATCAAAGGTTTTAAGGCGAAAGTATCATGAGCAAATTAATATGTGGATGGCTGGTTCCCTTTAGTTAAAACTATTTTTTTTAAAAAAATGTTTAAATGATAAGAAAGGAAATAAATAAAAAGGAACAGAACAAAGGGAAAGAAATAGAAATAGATCAATTAGATGATTAAAATGAAAGAAATAAGAGAAATACATCCGTATTCAAGAAATGGGAAGAGTGACCCTGATTGGTTGTCTGGCCGGGGTTCAACCTGTCACAGCTCGCTCAGCTGAAGATAACCCAGGGTTAGAATAATATAGTTAGTATAGTGCAAAATTTGAATTCGAATATGAAAGCTAAAAGGTAAATTCAATTTGATTTTTTGTCTAACTTTTGATGATCGGATTTGATTACAGTTAAATGAAAAAATGCTTTTCAACAAAAGAAAAACAAACCCAGATTTCATAACGATATCTCAAGGAATTACGTCTTGCACAAGACTCTTTGCAGATGATATGAAGGTGGATAGGGTACTGAGGGACACTAAGGAAGATGTTGAAGAACTCGGCAAAAAGATCTTACTCGTTTGGAATATTGGGACAATTGAGATTCAACACTGATAAATGCGAAGTGATGCGTATTTCTAAAAAGACAAACACCGTCGTCGCAAGCTGAGGAACCTGAATTGATGTGATTGGAAATCATGCATTGCGCGCTCAATCTACAGATTAGTCAGGTATCCGCTAGCAGATAACTAACTAATCTGTAGGTTCTGTAGACTAGGTTGCGCTGATTTCCAAAACTATCTATAGGCTCTAAGCCAATGAGAAGACAGATAGTGAGTACAATGTAAAATAAACAGGGTTATCGGTACGTGGGGGAAAAAGTTCACCCTGGAGTAGGCCTGGGGAACAGTTTCGAAGGCTCAATCAAGAGACAAGCTGCACAGCGGTCATAAGCTAAAGCACTGGAAAATTCAAGATGGAGGACGGTAAGCATGCTTTTCTCACTGACTTATTGCTTAAATTTATCCTTAATTTGGCGCTATTCAGTTTAAAAAATGTTTTCTTTATGTTATTAAGTCTTTGTTCATATTTATTTCACGAAAATGAAACGTTTGAAACTCTACGCAGCGTTGATTTTTAGCTTTTTCGTGATTTGGTCTGGTTTGTAGCGCTATGTCGATGAGTTATTCTTCTGATTTCAACTAATCTCACTAGTATTACATATCTAGTCTTTGAGGGTTTAATACTTCAATTTATAATTAGGTTCAGGTGCTAGGAGAATTTCTGCCTTTACTCTCAGAAAATGACCATGAAACATGTACCTTTTTCCTTTGTAAATATCATCTTTTGGTCCACGAATTTTCTCAAAATTCTAATGCACCTATCAATGTTAAGCCCGAGGGGGGGGACCCCGGGCATATGTGGGGCATTTGACTTTTCAGAAGATTTTTTGGTCAAAGTCCCCACCGTGGGGCCCCAAAACTGGGTCAAATAAGATCAAATATCCCCACCTTAGGGAAGTAATATCCCTAAAGTTCATAGTAGTTGTTGTGTATATTTTACAAATAATTGATATAAATTGCCAAGCTTTTTTTTTATATTTTAAACTCCTTTGATGCTTTGTGTAATCCGAGGAAAATAATCAACAAATCTAGCATTTCACGTGAAAAAATCAAATATAATTGTCCACAGAGTAAGGTGTTCCATCAATTTATATTGACAACCAGTAGTGAGAAGCAGTGTTTTTGTTTACAGAAACGAGTGCTTACCTCAAAAACAGCCGTACTTTCCAGCCAGCGCTCCAGTGAATTCCAAGATGGCCGGCACAGACGTGACTAGCTACCAGTCCTCCTCGCAAAAAAAAAGCAAACGTCCCCACCCTGGGGCCCTGATTCTAAGTCAAACTCCCGAGGGTGGGGAAGGCAAAAGAGGTCAAATGCCCCACATATGCCCGGGGTCCCCCCCCTCGGGCTTAACATTGATAGGTGCATAACAGTATGAAATGTATTTCTTTTAGTTGTTGATCAGTTGTTTAGCTCAGTTTCCATTGAGATCATTAGACCCTTTATAAGCCGCTCCTTGTGAATTTCACAGTATTTGACACTGAACAGCTTACTCGTGGCGGCATTTTTCGTTTCTTTGAGGTTTATAGGTTTACCTAGATTTAATTTGTACTAATTATACTTTTGCATTGCTTTTTCAAAATGATCTGACATCCCTTTACTTTGTTAATTTTTTTGCTTAGCGTATCTTGTCAGTGCTTATGATGTATCGTAAATCTAGCTGTTCTTGGTGCTCTGTATCTGTATTTTTTGCATATATCCCCTATATTTTGGTGCTTTTGCTGTAACTCTTATTGGTATAATAAACAATTATTTCTTTGTTTATACCACTTCATTAAAAAATTTCTGCAATTTGATTGGCTTAGAGCAGTGGTATTTCAGCTTGATTTGAAATACCTACATGTGAAAATTACAAACCTTTTGCAGGTAGTAGTATAAACAAATAATAGTATAATTTGTATGTGATATTTGGCATAAATGCCACTTGTGATATTTCAAAATTGTATCAAATTTCACTCATCTACCGGCTTGTGAAATTACGTATAACAATTTTGAAATATCACTTGTGGTATTTATACCAAATATCACTACTAATCATGCTATTACCTATACTAACGTGAAGTTCCTCAGCACATAAGCAACTGTAATTAGAAAAAATAATATTAACAAAGTGATCTAGACGTTATCTCTTTTAGTGCCTGGAAAAATACATGTAAATCCATGACAAAAAGATCTCTATACATTGTACCAAAGACAGACTAATTTGTTAGTTTTTTATGTTGTTTTGGTATATCTTGAATTGGAGCATGAAGGAGCAGCTCCAGGGTCCACCTCACAGCCAGTTAGACGAAACATTTCTTTAAAACTGAAAGCAAAGAGCAAGTCAGCAAGCTCATTGTCATCTGGGAAAAGCAAGAAAAAGGAAGGAAAAAGTGGAGAAAAGTCTAGGACAGGATCTGAAGGTAAAGAAGCCAATTTTCTTTCAACGCTGTACAATGTATGTCTGGTTTTAAGCCTTGCTGTCATGTTGTTTCCTTAGACAAGAAACGTTAGTCCACTTTGTCTGTTCAGCCAGGTGTATAAATGGGTACTTGAGGAATGCTGTGTGAAGGTTGTTGAGAGACACACACTCTTGGGCAGCTCTGTAAATAAGAGCCTGAGACAGTGGATTCCCTTTGGCTACAATGAGCATGAACCCTGGCTACTTTCATAAGAAAATGGAATATAGAATATAGAACTAATACAGTGCTTGAAAAATCTTGAAGTCCAGCTTGTCCTTGGGGCAAGCAGCTCTCATTTTTTGCTTGGTTAAGGCCATCTTTTGCTTTTCTCTGTTAACGATTCTGTTAGAGGATCAGTACTGTTGTCTTGACCCTTATTGGGCAAGTGAGCCTTAAAAGTTACTTGTCCGGCAAGAAAATCCACTTGTCCAGCACTACCAGATGGGACTTGTTTTGAGCCCTGCAACATAAATTTGTTGGTGTTCATTTCCCTGCCTACATATTGTACATTTAAACATGTACGGTATATCCAGTAACTTGAAATCTGAGCAACAGCCCTCCTTGAGGAAATAAGCAACATTGAAAAGTTTTTTATTTTTCTGTGAATGTTTGTTTATTCAAAAGAGACAATCAGTATTACAGTGGGACCACGATATAATGAAACTCTGTATAACGAAGTCCGGTATAAGAAACGATTTTATTTAATTTTGCCTGGATTTGTGTAAAAGTTATTCAGGTAGAGGCCATAGAGTACAGTTAGGTCATAATGACATGTTGTGCAGTTCTCAGACCATAGGATTCAAGTAAAACCAAGTAAACTAAGCATGCAAACATTTCGCTAGAGTGTTAAAGGTCCTCTTAGTTGTTAGAAGTCCTGGATAGTTATTTGATTCTTTGTTTGTCATATCTATTAGGTGACAAGGAAAGTAAAAGGAAACAGAAATCCCCTGGAACAGCTGCAGCAGCTCAAGTGGTTGTCATGAGAGAACTCAAGTGGGATCATCAAGTATGTACTATTAATTTTATAATTTATGCTCATTTAGCCCCAGTCACTTAGCCCCTATTTGTAAGTCGTTTGCCATAAACAGCCTAATAAACGTCTACTTCCAAATAAACGCCCCCTCAACATTGTTAAAATTTTATTAGACGCTCCTCTCTGATAAAGGCCCCTGTCTAATAAATAGACAGTTCGCCATGAGAATTACTCCAAAATACTAGGAATTAGTAAAAAGGTGCAAAATCATTCAATTCATTCAGTTTCTTGCTTGATTAGCAAGGGTAAATGCGTATTTCATCTTGCTCAATGTTAAGTTAAAAATGAGGATAGACTAACGATGGCAACGCAAAAACAATGAACGTGGATTCTAACATCGATGTTGGGATTTGAAAAAGAGCGATATGGATCTCTAGACGGCCTAGACATATCAATATTGATGGAGTGGATATTCCACCATTTTTAAACTCTCTTGATATTTTTGCCAAAACAGGGCTCAAAATTGCGACTGATAGGGTTGCCAATGTGACTAACATTTTCTCCTTGGCGACTAAAAATTCTAGTTTAGTCACCAAAGTGGTGACCAGATTTCTCTCTGACTTAGATTTCAATTAAATTAGTAAAGTTAAAACAAACATTTCATCTTATCCTGCTTTGCTCTCATCATGAAAAATGTGCCAAATCGCATAAACAAAGCCAGTTTACCTCCAAATTTATACCGACTTGTATCCACAATATTCTCAAATCTGATGGATTACACCAAACTATGCAGGGCTTCTGATAGGTCGCAGAAAAAAGTCAAATTTCATGGGATTTTTAGGGGCAAATTTGCGAAAAAATCAACCGATTTCGTGGGAATTTTTGGGACAAACTTAGCCGCAAATCAATCGGTAAAAAAAGGCCGATTTTGTGGTTATTTTCAGGGAAAACTTTGTTAGAGATTGATCAGTAATTGTGCTGACAATAGACCAGTGTTTTTAATGTTTTTCTAACAGAGATCATTTGCTCTTTCAACATCTATAAACAATGGCAAAGCCTTTAACATCATGGCTAGTGCCCAGTTTTTCGCAGCATAATCTACGCCTAGTACTTTCGGGACATTGTTTGCACATTTTAGTGATGAAGTTTTAAGATAAATTTACAAGTTTACAGCAAGTAAATAGCCCCAATAGCTGACAAAAGTTGCAAATATGTTGTACAAACATGTATTGGATAAGATTTCTACCGAATTTTGCAGTATTTTGCTTGGTTTTGTGAATTTTGTGGCTCTGCGATCGCACGAAATATCAGAAGCCCTGACTATGAGCTACGTCATTTACATGATACAAACTGGCCACTAAAAATTTCAATGTGGTGACCCTATTTCTCCTGTTGGTCGCCGAAAGGCAACCTGAGGATTTTTTTTAATTTCAAGCCCTGTGAAAGCATGTTAGTTTTGTTGAGCTTGTTACAGTTATGACAATAAACGCCTCTCCCTTTTAAATGCCTCCTAACTATTAATTGCGCCCACTTGAACCCCTAGAATTAACTAGATGCCTTGGACAGTTATTAGGTCCTTTATGGTAGCCCCCAGAATTAAGTCATTAATTTTTTCTTATTTTAGGCAGGCCCATACATCTACGTGTACATGTAGATGAGATAACTTAGGCTCTTACTTTTCTGTTATCATATCAGTTTGTTACAAAAACAAGACATTTATGTTTCAAAATAGTTTAGCTTATCCTCCTGTCTTCCTCACAGATTTTGCCGATTGGGCAAAAAGTGCAAGATCCACTTCTCCACCTTTGTGAAAAGTGTTCTCTCCCTATCCTTGTTTATGGCCGACTGGTATGTATAACAAGTATTTACTTATGTACTCCTTTACCAGTATGTAAAGAAAGTCATGTCCGATAGCCCAGGACTAGAGGATTTCGGTTATCTGGCTAGTGAATTCTGTTCTTTATTTACCCTATTGGCAAATGAATTTCTTTTAGGAAATTCGCATTACAGAAGAACTGTAATCAATCCTGCTCATTAATGACTGTTGGGTTGGTACATGCTAGTTGCAGCTTGCACGAATGGGAATCTGTAAAAGTGACTTTCTTTGCACCCTGTTTACTCCTTGAGCTAGTTAATGACATAATGTCATGATGTATGAATGCACTGAAGCTCTTGTTTTTGAGTCTGGATGAAAGTCTTGGTGTTACCATTAAATGGTAAATTCTCTTTGGTGGTTCCAACGTCTGCAAGATTATTATTAATTTTGTGGAATAATTTTTCTGGAGTTTTTAATTTTTCATCTTTATAACTCCACTGTTATGCCATTGGTGTACATTGTATCTCCCATGGTATGTCGTGATCAGTATTTTGTGTAAAGCTTGAACTGCTGTCAGTAACAAAATTGTTGTAGAATTTAGTGGTATCCAGGTCATCTATTATAGTGGATTATTGATAAAAAAAAACCTCCAGGAAATGGATATTGATCATGGAAAATGTTCACATGAACATCCCCCCAAAATAAAAAAAAAATTAATATCTATATTTATAGTTGGCAAATCAGATCTTTTAGTTATCTTATCCTTCTAAGAACTCTTTTAATTTATGATCATCCTAGGAACATATTTGCTACATTTTCTTTTTATTGGCTTTTATTTGGTTTTATTCATTTTAACAATATTCTGAAACGCATAGCTCAATTATTTTATTTTAAAATTTTTGTACAGTGCACTGTTATTAGTTCATTTTATTAATTTTTTTTAAAGTAATTGTTGTTGTAAAGCACCATTGGACAGCAATGGAAATGGTGCTTTAGAAGTAAATGTTATTATTATTATGAGAATATTAAAATGTGGGTGTTGTATTTTAAATGTCTCATACAGTGATGCAGCTTTAATGCATTGATGACCCTTTTTTGAAACCTTCCATACATGTATGTTTTTTTTGTCACGTTCTAAAACGTGCAGCAATGGCTCTGCTTAATTCTCTCTGTGGGTTTGTTAGGGTAATTTTGTTCACATTCAGTTGTGCACTTTGTGTTAAGATGGTAAAAGACAGGTAGGTAATCGGTAATTATGATTTAAAACGAGCATTAAGTCCAATTGTAAGTACAGCCCAAAATCTTGGTGTATGGAAAAACACCTTCTACATGACTTGTACCCTTCAAAATTAATAATTTATGCCTTCCTTGTCTTTATTTCAGAGTCCATGCAAACACTCTTTCTGTTTAACATGCGCAGAAAAGGGAAATGGAAAATGCCCAAGGTAGATTTAAAATGGATTTCATCATTTTTGTTACCTCAGTACAACTTGTTCGGCCAATAAATAATGTTTACACTGGGCTAAGTACATTCAATGCTATGTCACTAGAGAAAAGGTTGCCTTTGGTTGTATGTAATTTTTACTAAAACCTGTTTAATCAAGACCAGGCACTTCGGAGTTCTTAAAAACTTGTTCGATTGGGTTTGTGAGTTTCAGAACCAATTACATTCAATACCATGCAACTGGAAGTGTGATTGACATTGGTTGTTCATGTAATTTTGACTTAAACTTGCTTTATAATCACAAGCACTTCGGAGTTCTAAACTCACTCCAAAGGGTTTGCAAGTCCTAGAACCAATTGATTATTATTACATTCAATGCTATGCCACTAGAAGTGTGGCTGACTTTGGTTGTTCATGTAAATTTGTCTAACTTGCTCAATCACAAGGCACTTTGGAGTTCTTAAAAACTCGTTCCTAAGTTTTTGTGAGTTCTAGAACCAATAATAACTAGAATTTGGAAGTGTGAGGTTTTTAGCAGGACTTGAATTTGGGCCACATGGCAAAAAAAAAAAAAATTCTCAAAATTCAAATGATGAAAAAGAGACGAAATTCAAAGTTTTGATTAACGTACTGACGAGCCATGTAGCTAAGTTGTTGTTGCCTTTCCTGGGTCCAGAGTTATGTTGCCAAGATCCAGCTTATACATGTAAGTAGTCTCCCACCTCCCCGTTTTTGTCTCGTCACACAACGCTCCTCCCCTTTCCCCTCCCTTTCATGGGGAGGAGTGTTGTGTGACGTGACAAAAACGGTTGCTTGAGAGACTAGCTTACAATAAATAACGGGAATAATATCCAAAATGGCAGTATTTCCAAAAATTGCCCCTCATCAGGGTCTCTGAAGTCATGTAAATTTTACTTTAGGTGTGGGGAAAGTGTTCAGAGGATTGAGTGAGCAGCGCTGGGCAGTGTGTATGTATACCCCCTTGTATAGCAATTCCAAGTAATCAAAAATGATGATTTTTTCCCTGTCTTGTTGTGCAATGACTTTTAGGTCTCATTATGTTTGGAGGGGAGTTTTTGACAAGCTTTTTCCCAGAAGCTGGGGTTCAAGAATGTATGAAAGAACATGGGAAAGATCCAAAGTTATGGAAAATCAAGTATGAAGAACATTTTATATATTTAAGAATTTCCTTGATTGAGTCAAAGTGATGTTATAAAGTCATTTGGTTGATAAGACCAAGTATGAAAATAATATTTTTGAGGGGAAGAGTTTGTATTTTCAGGTATACTTCTAATGGAAGTACACTATTTACTGCCTGTGACAGAGGAGTTGTTCGCAAGTGAGTCATACTCTGTGGTAATTGACATGCATAAGTGATCTCTTTACTAGCCATTAACAATATTAATTTGCATCTATTCTTAAATCAACAGATGTTGATTGACTGTTAAAACTCTAAAAAGTAGCCCCTATTTTGTGGCCACCCTAATTTTAGCCAGGACTTCTAAAATTATCAGTAAATCATTGAAAATAGAACATCTGTAATATACATCTATCACCCGAAGGGCAGGTAAACTAATAGTGGTGGATTTACCAAGACGCGAAGTATCGAGGTATATATCTAGCGCTATGAACCGACTCTGAGGGGGTAGTTGTATTAGACTAGTATTCACCAAATCAGTTGGATAAAACTGAAAAAAGTGACTTGTTGTAAATTAAAAGCGTCACTTAGTAGGAACTTTGTTTACAATTTACAAACATTTCAGGGATTTTGTCAAGTGCGTTTTACGATTTTGTTGCAAATTCCCCTGCTTTTCCCTTCCTCCCTATCCCCTACCCCTTTCGACGCCCGCTATGCAGGATATTACAGTCCCTCTGTTGTTCTCGTCTCCTCCCAAACCGCCCCCGCCGCCTAAGTTGTTTTGACACTCATGCAAGATGGCAGCTTGTAACGCAAAGCGCCCGATCTCGACGATCTTACTGAAAAATAGAGGACTGTGAACAGTCCAGGCCAATCGTGAGGCGCATAAGAAACTCGGAAGAAATCCGCCTATCAGAAACGCTCACATATGTCCTTGCAATTCTGCAGGATATTTGAACGAGTTTTTGTGCACTAATTCGCAGACGGACTATACAAATAGTTTATAAGACGAGTGCGTGAGCCGGCTGCAACACAGCATTACAGAAACGCGCCCATTGAAAAACGTCGCCCGTGAAAAGTGGGGTACCCATTAGGCTTTGCGAGCAAAAACGAAGTTTCAAAGACTACCGTCGTTTTCGGTCTCTTATGAACTTCATAGCGGTTAACTATTCTCACACTTTCAAGAGACAATGCAGAAACAATAGAAGTAGGTTGCCATTGTTTTATGTGTTGGAATGTCTTTGTCATTGCTACAAAGAAGAAAATGTTTATGCAAAGAGAAGCATTTTTCTTCCTCGTGCACTAACATAAAACCCTCGCGAATTCGGTAGTCTCGTGCGAATCGTTTTGATGGCAAAACAGTTAAAGCTAATCAGAAACCAAAGTATTCTTCACTTAAAAACTCATCTTCACGAAAATCACTCGATAAGATTGAATAAAAATGTTTGTAGCGTTTATGAATATTATTATCAGAAGCGGTATTGTAGTTGTTTTCAAGAGACGGATTAGATCGCTGTTTCGGTTTGGCCGTTAAATATGTAGTTATAGCGTTCTTAAAGAAAGTATCGCTCTTAATTTTGCCTTATACTTTGCTAAAATCAATATCTTAAATGAAGAATGTAAGTGAGAGTGCTTTCTCGTCGAATTTGCCCGTAACTTTTAAGGTTTATAATATTATCCAAAACCCGTGACATAAATGTAAACAAACTATTAACGCATCGGTTGCGCTTATATTTCATCGATCGATTCGAACACCAAGAAGTTTGTAAAAGGTAGAAATTCATTTTAAGTCAGTGCATTGAATTATTTACGGCAAAATCAACAACAATCATCGAGGATTTTTCAATTTTGAAGCGTTTAACAGCAAAAAGTCATATGCTAATTCGGAGTAAATTTAGACAGTTTTTAAACAGACTGAGCTATTGTTAGTCGCGTGAAGTTCTATTCTTCATCGAAGAATAGGCAAATGTTGCGGATGTCTGAGCAGGAACAATAACCAGGAAAGGGATATACCCAGGGGATTTCTTGATTGACACTAAATTAACGTCATTTTTCACTTATTTGCATTTTCACGATCGACGTTTTTGAATGGGCGCGTTTCTGTAATGGGCTGCTTCCCGGCTACCGGGCATATAGCTCGGGCATGTAGCCACAACGTATTATAATTTGACACCACATTATCCAGAATTTCAGACGATTGCTTCGAGTGGTTTTTACTCCCTCAGCTGAAGAAGTAAAAACTACTCGAAGTAATCGTGTAAAATTCAGGCTAACCCGTCATAATGCTTTATTATTAATTTTTCCAATTTTTTATGGATGCCTGCATTTCGGGACCTATTTCTCGAAGCACTAAAGTCACTTTTGTTGACGTAATTTGATCAAAATGGAACTAAATGCTAAAGGAAGGGAAAAATCCCATAGGTTTAATTTCTTCTTGGTAGAAGATTGATTGTTGCCTATAGGTACGTTTTGTGCAAGTCTGGTTGTTATGTGAAGGAAAATGTACTTGACTTTTATACTGACTTGCTTTGCAAAATATGATTTCCTCGTAGACTTTTCCGTCGTGACAAATCAAGCGAACTATCAAGACTGCTCGGGAATTTATAACTGAGGTAGGCATTGTATTAGCTGAAGTTATACTAGAACTACACGGTTCCTTTACCTTAGAAGGCATTTGGTCATTTATATCGCGGAAACTTTTGTCAAAGTATTCTATCTTCATTTAGAATAACCAAGCGATCAGGAAAACACAACTCGCTTCGCAGCTGAGCGATTGTGGTTTCTTGGGTATAGAGTACAGTCGACGCTGTCAGACGCTAGGAATAACTTCGCGTCAGTCAGATAATAAGCATTTTTTCTCTTTCCCCAATATATTTCGTTTCACAGAATAGAATAAGCCGGGCGTTACTCACGGGCACGATTTGAAAGAAGTTAAATACCCACCAGTCTCAAAGCGAACCTGGAAAGTGAAAACGCCTTCTCTTAAGCTCCAGAATACATGCATATTAGCCATTATGCTCAAATTTTCGAGCATAATGATTATGTCTAACCCTAATTTACAGCGTCGAAACTACTCTATGCCCGAGAAACCACAACACCTCATCTGCGAAGCCATTCTTGTTTTCCTGATCGCTTGTTAATTTTAAATAAAGATGGAATACTTTCAGACGATTAGAAAGTACTATAAAAAGGGATTTTGCAGAAATTCTAGAAAATTTTCTGACTGCCGGGCATGCATAGTTTTTTTTAAGACCCTTCCCGGGTGCCGAGCATATAGCCACAGCATATTAATAACTGTATGTATTTGATTTAATTTGACCACTCTTCAGCCTGAATTTCAGACGATTGCTTCGAGTCGAAGTAATCGTCAAGAAATTCGGGCTAACCTCTTGCTTTTATTCATGGATGGCTGCATTTCGGAAGCTATTTCTGGAAGCACTTACGTCACTTTTGTTGAAACTGAAAACTAAAGGAAGGGAAAAATCCCATAGGTTTAATTTCTTCTTGGTAGAAGGGTTGATTGTGGCCTATAGGTAAGTTTTGTGCAAGTCCGGTTATTTTGTGAAGGAAAATGCAATTGACTTTTATACTGACTTGCTTTGCAATATATGTTTTCCTCGTAGACTTTGTCGTCGTGACAAATCAAGCGAACTATCGAGACTAATCGAGAATTTATAACTGGGGTAGGCATTGCATTAGCTGAAGCTATACTCGAACTACACGGTTCCTTTATCTTAGAACGGCATTTTTCATTTATCTCGAGGAAACTTTTGTCAAAGTATTCTATCTTCATTTAGAATAACCAAGCGATCAGGAAAACAAAACTCGCTTCGCAGCTGAGCGGTTGTGGTTTCTTGGGTATTCTCGGTTTTCACTGACTCATGTGAGAACGCAGAAATAAAAATGGAAACCTTTAAATACAGAAAGTCTAGAATCTGGGAAATGAGAGAAGATAAATGAACAAAACGCCTTGCCAAGAATCAGGTCTACGCAATAGTTCATATGCGAGATATTCGTAAAATCGTTTGACCCAAATTTATGAAGCTTTGTATGGAAACGCCATCATTGTTTGTGTCCCTTTCAGGGGCACAAATATGGCTGCCGGAAACCAACATAAACATCTGTTTTTGAGTTTTCCTACTTATTGGTGAATTCTTCGCTTGAGGAACTCATAAAGATTAAAGTGATATTCATTCTAAGACAAGGATTGTTTAGATAGCAAAATCTCCAAAAATCCGTAATGTTTTTAACCCACATAAGAGCTTTCCCGGCCGCCAGCTAAAAATGCCGCGTCACGCAAAAGCCTGGAAATTCAAGAGTCCCGTATCGAAAAACAAAGAAGCAGTTTGAACCTAAATTTTTTTTGTGTAAAGGTTTTAAGGTGCTCTAGTATCACATGAAAGTAGAAACTCAGAAGAAGCGATAGTTTCTTAGTTTGAATTTTGGTGACGTCATGTGAAATCCAAGAATTCTTGGTGTGGGGTGTGCCGCCCGGTTCTTTAAATCCTGACCCGATATCAGACCAAAAAATGTAATTTTCCACGCCCGTTTTCAGACTAGACCTCTAAAATCCATACCCGTTGTCAGACCTGGCATTTAGGCAGAAATTATGTTATCTACGCGAACAAAAAAAATTATTCAAATCCAGTTCGAATTCGCATATTTTTCTCTCTTTCTTACTCATTTGGAATTGAAACGATAAAATACGTTCCTAGACTCTGTAGTTCCCTCGAAAACCATACCCGATTCCAGACCAAAATGGGCAAAGTGTGTACCCATTTTCAGACCAAAACGGCGCAAAAACCCTAAGGTCTGCCGGATTATGCTCGAAAAATAGAGTATTATGCTTTCGGGTGTCACCCGTGAAACTAGGGTATTATGCTCAAATTATGCCGGACTAAAATGACACTTTCAATGGAATCAAACCACTATGAGATGACGCGGCGTTACCAAAGCTTGTCATTTTCTTTAAATATTAGCGAATGGTGTGGCTAGCATGCTCTTTCACTGTTTTTATGATTCTTAAAACTGCTTTTCAAAATATTTCGAAAACGCTCTCATGGAATTTGTTCAAACTTTGCCATAATTGAGGCAATTATGGCAGGTACATTGCCTAGTCCCTAGGCCTCATTATTATGCGCGGCCGATGCGTTTCGGGTCACGCGGTCCGAGAAAGTTTTTGAGTAGGCTTTTGTACATTATGCTAGCATTTTTTCGAGCATTTTAGTGAGGCAAAGGCATCTAGTGGCATTTTACCGGAAAGTTAATTTTTTGCGAGAAAATAAAATAGAAATTAACGTTTTTCAGGAGCCCATGGCCATGGGCTGCTGCTTTTTTAATGAAAATGAAGACTAAAACTCAAAATTCACGAAAAAACCTAATATAGCTGAGTGGAGAGTGAGGACAAGTCAGCGGTTTTACCTTTCAAGACTCAAGAGTAAATTAATAAAAAAAAAAACGTTTGTATAATAGCTCATATACCATAACGGCTAAGCCAATCAAAATGCTAGAATTGCATTATCCAATGATTCAGTTTTAGCGACATTTTTGGGGGAGACCGAGCTTTTTAGTGGGAAAAATGGAGCATTAAGGTGGAGAATTTTAGTGGGGAAACAAAAGCATAATGTACAAAAGCCTATTTTTGAGGCCTAGACAAACTCGGAGAAGTGCGACATTTTGTCTCACTTGGGGCGGAGCTTTTGGAAGCGGGCGAGCTGTCAATAACTTTTCCGCGATGATGAAAGATGTCCAGCAGCCACGGAGAGTATGGAGCATTTTTATTCTATGTCTTCTATGCACGTTTTCATTGTTGAAAGTCCTTTGGCGTTTCTTATTCATTTATTTCATTAAACTAATTTGAACTTTATCTCATCTCAAAAACTATTTGTAGGCTAAGCAAAACAGCGTCGCAAAAAAATTATTTGATCAAGAATCGGAAGGTAAGCTAAAGAAATAAGTTTATATTTATTCTTCGATATTAAAAGCTGTCTTTCGTTTCTCTATTTTTGCTTGCTCCTGTAAATTTCTCGTTATCATTTCACTTCGAAATATTTTATGTAATTTAATTTTTGGATTTGGAAGCTTATCAAACTTATCGGACAGGCTGTTGAATTTGGTCTCTAAATTTGGTAGAATGTCAACAAACTACTGTGTCAAGTGTTAATATCAATAAAGAAATATCATTTAATGGTTCATTTGAAAATGAACTAAAAGAGAAATTACTTGCACGTTACAGTAGTATTCTTTCCGATTCAAAGTAATATTTTTGTTCTTTAATAACAGAAACCAGGTTAGTTATTTTTTTTTATCAATAGTGCCGATCTTGAAGCGAAGGATATTCACGCGCAAAGTTATTTATAGATTTGACCGTGTGAACTTTTCAAAAATGCAAAACTGCTCACGCATGCGCACTCCGAGATTGTCTAGGCGTCTCCCGGCCGTTCGTCTCGGATACGTCACCGAAATGCATTGACCGAGAGGGCCTGAAAGAACGCCGCGTAGGGACTAGGCAAGCAGGTACATACTCCCTTAAGCGATTTCTTCAAAAAACTCCTGGTACAGAGAAACACAAAGATAAATAAAAAACGTAATGGCGTCATTACGTTGCCATGGCGACTCCGATTGCAATAAAACCCAGATCATAAGAAATTTTCATCTTTATATAATACAGTTGTGGTAACCTTTTTTCCATATCTTTGCTCATACCGACGTAGTTAACGCTCAAACTTGGGAGGTATCCCCCTAAAAAAATCCAGTCGAGCCACCTTAATTTAACCCCTCTTTAGCCTGAATTTCAGACGATTCGTTTTTACTCCGTCATCTGAGGGAGCAAAAGGTAAAAACGACTCGAAGTGATCGTCTGAAATTCAGGCTAACCCCTCATATGCTCTTTTTCATGGATGGCCGCATTTCGGAAGTAATTTCTGGAAGCATTGACGTCACTTTTTATGACGATTTTTACTCATAATGAAACTGAAAGTTAAAGGAAGGGAAAAATCCCGCAGGTTTAATTAGGGTTGATTGTTGCTTATAGGTAAGTTTTGTGCAAGTCCGGTTATTTTGTGAAGGAAAATGCAATTGACTTTTATACTGACGTGCTTTGCAAAATATGATTTTCTCGTAGACTTTTTCGTCGGGACAAATCAAGCGAACTATCAAGACTACTCGCGCGGGAATTTATAACTGAGGTAGGCATCTGAAGCTATACTCGAACTACACGGTTTCTTTAACTTAGAACGGCATTTGGTCATTTATATCGCGGAAACTTTTGTCAAAGTATTCTATCTTCATTTAGAATAACCAAGCGATTAGGAAAACAAAACTCGCTTCGGAGGTGAGCGATTGTGGTTTCTTGGGTATAGAGTACAGTCGTCAGACGCTGTTTCAACAATAGCCTAGGAATAATTTCGTGAGTAGCAGCGCGTCAGTGATAATATGCATTTTTTCTCTTTCCCCAATATATTTCGTTTCGCAGAATAGAATAAGCCGGGCGTTACTCACGGGCACGATTTGAAAGAAGCTAAATACCCACCAGTCTCAAAGCGAACCTAGAAAGTGAAAACGCCTTCTCTTAAGGTCCAGAATACATGCATATTAGCCATTATACTCAAATTTTCGAGTATAATAATTATATCTAATCCTAATTTACAGCGTCGAAACTACTATCTCCCCGAGAAACCACAACCCCTCATCTGCGAAGCCATTCTTGTTTTCCTGATCGCTTGGTAATTCTAAATGAAGATGGAATACTTTCAGACGATTAGAAAGTACTAGAAAAAGGCATTTTGCAGAAATTCTAGAAAATTTTCTGACTGCCGGGCATTCATAGTTTTTTTAAGACGGCTACCAGGTATATAGCCACAGCGTATTAATAACTGTATGCATTTGACTTAATTTGACCAATCTTAAGCCTGCATTTCAGACGATTGCTTCGAGTCGAAGTAATCGTCAAGAAATTCGGGCTAACCCCTTGCTTTTATTCATGGATGGCAGCATTTCGGGAGCAATTTCTGGAAGCACTTACGTCACTTTTGTTGAAACTAAAAGCTAAAGGAAGGGAAAAATCCCATAGGTTTAATTTCTTCTTGGTAGAAGGGTTGATTGTTGCCTATAGGTAAGTTTTGTGCAAGTCTGGTTATTTTGTGAAGGAAAATGCAATTGACTTTTATACTGACTTGCTTTGCAATATATGTTTTCCTCGTAGACTTTTTCGTCGTGACAAATCAAGCGAACTATCAAGACTAATCGAGAATTTATAACTGAGGTAGGCATTGCATTAGCTGAAGCTATACTCGAACTACACGGTTCCTTTATCTTAGAACGGCATTTGGTCATTTATCTCGAGGAAATTTTTGTCAAAGTATTCTATTTTCATTTAGAATAACCAAGCGATCAGGAAAGCAAAACTCGCTTCGCAGCTGAGCGATTGTGGTTTCTTGGGTATAGAGTAGAGTCGACGCTGTCAGACGCTGTTTCGACAGTTAGCCTAGGAAAAATTTCGTGAGTAGCAGCATGTGATAATAAGCATTTTTCCTCTTTCCCAAATATATTTCGTTTCGTTTTGTTCCGCAGAATAGAATAAGCTTGGCGTTACTGACGGGCACGATTTCAGACAAGCTAAATACCCACCAGTCTCAAAGCGAACCTGGAAAGTGAAAACGCCCTCTCTTAAGCTCCAGAATGCGTGCATATTAGCCATCATGCTCAAATTTTCGAGCATAATAATTATATCTAACCCTAATTTACAGCGTCGAATCTACTCTATGCCCGAGAAACCACAACCCCTCATCTGCGAAGCCATTCTTGTTTTCCTGATCGCTTGGTAATTCTAAATGAAGATGGAATACTTTCAGACGATTAGAAAGTACTAGAAAAAGGGATTTTGCAGAAATTCTAGAAAATTTTCTGACTGCCGGGCATTTATAGTTTTTTTGAAGACCCTTCCCGGCTGCCAGGTATATAGCCATAGCGTATTAATAACTGTATGTATTTGATTTAATTTGACCACTCTTTACCCTGAATTTCAGACGATTGCTTTGAGTCGAAGTAATCGTCAAGAAATTCGGGCTAACCCCTTGCTTTTATTCATGGACGGCTGCATTTCGGGAGCAATTTCTGGAAGCACTTACGTCACTTTTGTTGAAACTGAAAGCTAAAGGAAGGGAAAAATCCCATAGGTTTAATTTCTTCTTGGTAGAAGGGTTGATTGTTGCTTATAGGTACGTTTTGTGCAAGTCCGGTTATTATGTGAAGGAAAATGCAATTGACTTTTATACTGACTTGCTTTGCAAAATATGTTTTCCTCGTAGACTTTTTCGTCGTAACAAATCAAGCGAACTATCAAGACTGCTCGGGAATTTATAACTGAGGTAGGCATTGTATTAGCTGAAGTTATACTAGAACTACACGGTTCCTTAGAACGTCATTTGTTGATTTATCTCGCGGAAACTTTTGTCAAAGCATGTCTCTTTTTAATAAGCCGTGTTGTCTATGATCTTTCAGTTCGCAGGGGACTGTAGGATTTCACTGATTTATTATGCATACATGTCCGTACTCATAGTAGTCTGCTACACAGCCGTTTTTAGTGTCTGCGTTGCGTGACGACAAGACCGTGCAGAAGAGTCATATTTATCATTTGTGTTAAATTATAAGAGCAAGCTGTATACAGAAATCTTTCTAAACCGCCTCATCCTCGGACGGGTGTATTTGAAAAGAATTGCAATCTTTCTAAGCGACATGACACAAAGAAATTCAAAGACGTCAACGTAAACACAGCTATACTAGCTAAGGAAAATAGGAAGTAAAAAAACAAAAACTCCTCAGGTTTTTACACGTACCGAGTTGTTGTCCATGCGCCTTCCTTTGCAAACAGGAGTAAAGTTTTTGTTAGCGAATTTCAGGTAAAAAATTAGGGGCAGTCTGAGACTCCGACATCGAAAACCACAAATAAAAGGCTTCTGGCGGGAGCAAACTACACTAAGTTTCTTATCTACTTAAAAGCTATCTATGGACAACTTCATTTTTTAACTCCTGCCACGAAATTAAGATTGTTCTCGATTTTTCCTGACCATCGCTTTTAAGCTGAAACCGAGCAGGGCAAGGAGTCAGGGGGGCCTTTCCTATTTTATATGAACCATAATTGTAACTTTCTGAATTCCACAAGCTTAAAATAACTGGTGGTATAGAAATACATATTCTTTTCATTTGCTGTACATTTGTATTCCGCTATAAAGAGAGATTTTAAACCTCAGAAATAAGTTCACTTTCCGAAATTTGACTTTTTTGAATATTCCTACTGGCCAGATTTGTAGTTTGTTGCCAAAAGCTTAAGTATTTTCAATGAAGGGTAGATGAATGTACAACGACTAGATAGATAACATACACCATGTTTAAACAATGGTAAATCTGGTTTCTTTTTCATTTCGATCACTGATCACCAAAAAGAATGTCTTTTTCCTTTTTTAAGAGAAAATCCCAGTTTATCAAGTCACATGACACGACGATAAAAAACAAGGAGAACGATCACTATTTGTGGCAAACCAAATGCGACTGTGATCATGGACCAAAACGAATAATAAAAGAGCTAAGAAATAAGCTTTTACTCAATGTTTTAATTTTACTTTTCATTTTCGTTATCACACGTTATGTTACATATAGAGAAATGGTATCAACGAAAAAAAACCACAACATATCTACACTTTTTTTTCAGAAGAGCTAAAATAGCAAAGCAAGCAAAAAATGTGACAATTAAAACTATCTTCGGGAAAAGCAGTACGTAGAGTTTATCTGCAATTTGTTATTGGAATGGCTGCGAAAGGACAAACAGAGGCCACCTGTAATCTTGAAAATACCGGCAAGATTGCCGATGAAGTTGGGGAGAGGACAGAAGAAGAACAAGGGAATAGTACTATTGGCGACGCCTATGTTAACTTTAAAGATTTCCAGAAAGCCATAGAGTACCATAAACGACACCTCAAAATTTCCAAAGAAGTGGGAGACAAGGCAGGAGAAGGAAAAGCGTACTGTAATCTTGGCAACGCCTATGACAGTATTGGAGATATCCAGAAAGCCATAGAGTACCATAAACGACACCTCAGAATTTCCAAAGAAGTGGGAGACAAGGCAGGAGAAGGAAAAGCGTACTGTAATCTTGGCAACGCCTATGACAGTATTGGAGATTTCCAGAAAGCCATAGAGTACCATGAACGAGACCTCAAAATTTCTAAAGAAGTGGGAAACAGGGCAGGAGAAGGAGTAGCGTACTGTAATCTTGGCAACGCCTATCACAGTCTTGGAGATTTCCAGAAAGCCCTAGAGTATCATGAACGAGACCTCAAAATTTCCAAAGAAGTGGGAGACAGGGCAGGAGAAGGAAAAGCATACGGGAATCTTGGCAACGCCTATTACAGTCTCGGAGATTTTCAGAAAGCGATAGAGTACCATGAACGACACCTCAAAATTGACAAAGAAGCGGGAAACAGGCCAGGAGAAGGAAGAGCGTACTGTAATCTTGGCAGCGCCTATTACAGTCTTGGAGATATCCAGAAAGCCATAGAGTACCATAAACGACACCTCAGAATTTCCAAAGAAGTAGGAGACAAGGCAGGAGAAGGAAAAGCGTACTGTAATCTTGGCAACGCCTATGACAGTATTGGAGATTTCCAGAAAGCCAGAGAGTGCCATGAACGAGACCTCAAAATTTCCAAAGAAGTGGGAAACAGGGCAGGAGAAGGAGCAGCGTACTGTAATCTTGGCAACGCCTATCACAGTCTTGGAGATTTCCAGAAAGCCATAGAGTACCATGAACGAGACCTCAAAGTTTCCAAAGAAGTGGGAGACAGGGCAGGAGAAGGAAAAGCATACGGGAATCTTGGCAACGCCTATTACAGTCTTGGCTATTTTCAGAAAGCGATAGAGTACCATGAACGAGACCTCAAAATTTCCAAAGAATTGGCAGACAGGGAAGGAGAAGGAAAAGCGTACTGTAATCTTGGCTGCGCATATAACAGTCTTGGATATTTCCAGAAAGCCATAGAGTACCATGAACAAGGCCTCAAAATTTCCAAAGAAGTGGGAGACAGGGCAGGAGAAGGAAAAGCGTACGGTAATCTTGGCAACGCCTATCACAGTCTTGGATATTCCCAGAAAGCCATAGAGTACCATACACGACGCCTCAAAATTTCAAAAGAAGTGCGAGACAGGGTAGGAGAAGGAAGAGCGTACGGTAATCTTGGCAACGCATATGACAGTCTCGGAGATTTTCGGAAAGCCATAGAGTACCATGAACGACACCTCAAAATTTCAAAAGAAGTGGGAGACAGGGCAGGAGAAGGAGCAGCGTACTGTAATCTTGGCAACGCCTATGAAATTCTTGGAGATTTTCAGAAAGCCATAGAGTACAATGAACGAGACCTCAAAATTTCCAAAGAAGTGGGAGACAGGGCAGGAGAAGGAAGAGCGTACGGTAATCTTGGCAACGCCTATTACAGTCTCGGAGATTTTCAGAAAGCCATAGAGTACAATGAACGAGACCTCAAAATTTCCAAAGAAGCGGGAAACAGGGCAGGAGAAGGAAAAGCGTACGGTAATCTTGGCAACGCCTATTACAGTCTCGGAGATTTTCAGAAAGCCATAGAGTACCATAAACGACACCTCAAAATTGACAAAGAAGCGGGAAACAGGGCAGGAGAAGGAAGAGCGTACTCTAGTCTCGGCATCGCCTATAACAGTCTTGGAGATTCCCAGAAAGCCATAGAGTACCATGAACGACACCTTAAAATTTCGAAGGAAGTAGGAGGCAGGGTAGGAGAAGGAAGAGCGTACGGCAATCTTGGCAACGCTTTTCACAGTCTTGGAGATTTCCAGAAAGCCATAGAGTACCATGAACGACACCTGAAAATTTCCAAAGAAGTGGGAGAGAGGGCAGGAGAAGGAAAAGCGTACGGTAATCTTGGCATCGCCTATTACCGAATTGGAGATTTCCAGAAAGCCATAGAGTGCCTTGACCTTAACCTCAAAATTTCCAAAGAAGTGGGAGAAAGGGCAGGAGAGGGAAAAGGGTACTGGAATCTTGGCAACGCCTATCAGTGTTTAGGAGATTTCCAGACAGCCGTTCACTGTTATAAAAACAGTGTCATTACTTTCGACCACATCAGGGGAAATCTCATATCTAATGACGAATGGAAGATTAGTCTTGGGAGTACGTATGATGATGTTATTTTGAGGCTATGGGGGCTGCAGTTTAAGCAAGGTAAAGTCGTCGAGGCACTTTTAATTGCTGATCATGGACGTGCCCAAGCTTTGAATGATCTTCTGGAGTTCAAGTATGGGTTTAAAGGGTTGTCTCGAGAAATAGGAACATTCTCGGCAACAACACCTGACATTCTTAATTACCTACCATCAAATACAGCTTTTATAGCTATCAACGAGGGAGGAATAGTTCTCTGGGTGAACGAGAAAGGAAACGAAATCAAAACTAGAAGAACTCAGATCGATATCTCCGTCACAACCAATTTACAGTCTCTATTGGAGACTGCACGTGAAGAAATAGGTGTGAGAGCTGATGTTAACTGTGAAGATCGCTCATTAAGGAACCCAAACGATAACAAGTCAGCAGAAAAAAGATCCATTAAGCCAAGGTCTCATTCCTCATCTTTTGGGACAAAGTCATTACAAACATTTTACAAAGTTGTTATGGACCCTATAAGAGACTTACTCCACGGCGATGAGGTTGTGATTGTTCCACAAGGACCTCTTTGTTTGGCCCCTTATGCTGCTTTCATTAACTTGGAATCAAAGTACCTCTGCGAAACTTTCAGAATTCGTCTTCTTCCCTCACTTTCTAGTCTGCGATTAATCCAAAATTGTCCAGCAGATTGGCACAGCAAGACTGGCGCTCTTCTCGTCGGTGATCCGTGGGTACAGGAGGTAACGACGCTAGAGCAGTTAGCGTGGGCCGAAAAGGAAGTGCAGATGATTGGGGAAATACTTCAAACTGAACCCCTCGTTGGAAAGCAGGCAACAAAAGATGAAGTGTTAAGACGTATCTCCTCGGTTGCTCTGGTGCACATTGCTGCTCACGGTGAAATGGAAACAGGAGAAATTGCCTTGGCCCCAAACACAACACGTTTATCCGTGAATCCAGCCAGGGAGGACTATCTCTTAACTATGAAAGATGTTTTAAAGGCGCAGATTAGGGCAAGACTTGTTGTACTCAGTTGTTGTCATAGTGCCCGCGGAGAAGTCAAATCTGAGGGTGTGGTCGGTATTGCACGGGCATTTTTAGGTGCTGGTGCTCGCTCTGTTCTGGTATCCTTGTGGGCGATCGACGACGAAGCTACTATGGAGTTCATGAAAATTTTCTACCAACAACTAGTCCATGGACGAAGTGCCAGTAAGTCTCTGAATAAAGCCATGAAATCCATGAGAGAAAATGACCGCTTTAACGCAGTGAAATACTGGGCTCCGTTTGTTCTCATTGGTGACGACGTAACGCTCGAGTTTGAGGGCAACCAATAAATAGCAAGGTATTTTAGGATATATTTAAACCTTGGATAATATTACGTGCTTTAGGAAACGTCATTTTAACAAGGAATTATTTTAGCCCTTTTATTGAGCAACGAATTCAACCGGTGCCACGTAACGTCAATCTGCCAATCACAGGTCAAGTTCAACAACAATGGAGTCTGACTTTAGTAGTTCTTTTGGCAGTTAAACACTGGAAAATTTATTTCAATTCTCGTGATTTTTTCACATTTAAAGTGTCGGTGGCCCCGTCTGAGTTCGTTCCACTGTAACTTACAGTCGAACCTGAGGTAAGCGACGACCCAAAATGCGAAGATCAAATTTCCGGTCGCTTATTTTACGGAAGGTGATCGCTTAGGAAAGTCTCTAGGTATGGTAAATCCTTTATTAAGCCTCCCGGGGGTTTACTCATTTCAAGAACGTTTGAAAGGGAGGAGGGGCTTATTTAATGAAGCGAAGATTGTGATATCATTTCCCCATAAAGAACTAGAACCTAAAGTGAAGAATCTCAGGGACATGAAGTTGGAGGTCATGATCAGCCGAGGATCCAAATCAAATCGAAACTTGAAGCTCATGAATAAACCATACAGGATAATCAGTCCACATGAAGTGTTAGAGTCGTGATAAATTAACACATCTATCATACGTCTATTGTATAAGAATAGGGAGAAGAGACTTGAAAGAGAGGAGGAGGTTAAATGATTTTCCTCTTAAAAGAGGCTTATTTGAGAGGAAGGCTTAATAAAGAATTTATGGTATGCAAGTTTCTTTGAATCTACAATAAGTGTAATCATTGGTTGAAGGTACGAGTTTTAATGTGACCCTTTGCTCTTATAAATTTAGGGCGTGTTCGATTCACCGTATTCCGCGTCTAATGGAATAGCCTCGCCAGAAATCACTTGTTCTGTCTTTCATTCTACAAAACTGCTTGAAGTAAAGTATTTTGATCTATATAAACTTTAGATGGTTCAAAAATTACGGTATAGAAGAGGTTTGCATCAAAACGTTTGCGTATTCTTATTCCGGGGTACGATCAATCGAGCACACTCTTAAAAGTCGGTTGTCAAAATGTTATGCCTCGCCAGATGAAGTCACTATCCTTTTCTTTTGTTAGCTTGCTAACTTTGCTTTTCCTGTTGTCGTTGTTGTTGTATAGGTATGATGAAGAATGCAGTGAAGCAGTTCCTAACTATCTGAGGGTGAAGTCAGTTTCTAATTTTGTCACAATTACGAGGTGGAGCGTTCCTCGCAAGAATAGAGAAAATTGTATGCTGTTAATATTTTGCGTAGTCTGAAAATTACAGTGTAGGTTTCGTAGCTTATTTTGCGACCAGTCATGTGCACTTGAAACTTGTTTTATAGTCACCTGAAAAATATCAGGAATCAGTAGTCAATTTCGGCTATTTTCATCGATACCAAATGGGACAGAGGCACTTTAGATTAGCAATTTAACATAGCTCTTTACTGTTATATTATGTACACAGTTGTAGTTTTTAATTCTTTTGGCAGATTGGTTTAATTTTTTTAGTGTCTATATTGGTTTGATTCAAGTCTACATGACCTTTAATTATACATATGTATAGAGGATACGTTTTACACCTCACCTAAATTGTACCTGTAGAAATTTAGACGGAATCCACCAGGAAATTGAGTAGTTTTAATTTTTTGTGGACAAAAACCTTGTACCAGAATAATTTAAAGCATATTGCATTCTTTTTTACATTTTTCAAGGGCTAAAGATGTAAAAATTTCACAAAATTATATCTAAAACATGACCTTTTCAGAATTTTACCTGTGTTTTCACATTTCTTGTGAAATTTGACATTCATTTTCTCGGACTCCCATAAGAAATTTTCTTTGGTGTTATTGCAGATGACTAATTACATCTTTAGCCCTTGAAAAGTGTATTAAAGAATGCAATATTCTTTAAATTATTCTGGTACAAGGATTTTGTCCACTTAAAATTAAAATAACTCAATTTCCTGGTGGATTCCGTCTTAAAACGTCTTTAAGGTGGCTCGACTGGATTTTTTAGGGGGGATACCTCCCAAGTTTGAACGTCAACTACGTCGGCGTGAGTAGAGATATGGAAAAAAAGTTACCACAGCTGTATTATATAAAGATGAAACTTTCTTATGATCTGGGTTTTCTTGCAATCGGAGTCACCATAGCAACGTAATGACGCCATTACGTTTTTCATTTATCTTGGTGTTTCTCTGTACCAGGAGTTTTTTAAAGAAATCGCTTAAGGGAGTATGTACTTGTTATAATTGCCTCAGTTTTGGCAAAGATTGAACAAATTCTATGAGAGCGTTTTGGAGATATTTTGAAACGAAGTTTTAAGAATCATAAAAACGGTGAAATAGCATGCTATACACAAAATTAGCTAATATTCTAAGAAAATGACAAGCTTTGGAAACGCGGCTTCATCTCATAGTGGTTTGATACCATTGAAAACTGCCTTCCAAAAAAGAGGGGAATTGCTCTTGGCGATCGCGAGAAAGAAGAATTTTATTAACCCGCATTCGGCTGCGTTTGTTACAGTTTGTATACGTAATTTGGTCCATACCTACAAATTTCGCATTATTCCAAAAACCGCTCGATAAATTTTTTTATAAACTTGACAATCTAGAGATCATTTGTCAATGAATACACCCTGCAAGTTTCAAGGACATTGAAAACAGGGAAGGCTTTTAAATAGGGCCTCCAAAAGAAGTAATTTTTCCCCCAGATTTGAGTTTACAAGTGAGTGTCCTCATTATTCATTGGCATTGTTTTCAAGTTTCATATGCACGTGTACAACTAGTAAAAAACAGAATTTGCATCAAAAAGGACCCTCGGTTACTTTCCGAAAAAATCTTCGGGATATGCTAATAACCGGGTAAAGAAATGAAGTAATATTACGCACTGAATGTCACGCTATAACGCTGTGTGATGCAGTCATGCCAAGGGTCTCTGAGTCCAGAAAAAGAAAAGCAGCTATTCTGCTAAACAACAGTAGAGGAAAAAAGTTTGGTTCAAGTGATGGTGAAACGCAGGTATGGGTCCATTCCATTTATTTAGTGTGTTTATGGTGTCTTTTCTTAATCTGGCACAGAAAAGAAACAGAAATAAAATTTCCGAGTTATTTCCTAATTTCAATATTATTTTTCGACAGAATGGTGAGAAGAATCTTCCCAACCAAAACGATGATCTCCCTCACAATTACCGAGGCAGACTATTGAGAAATGAGCAGTGTAAATCTATGAGAGAATATCGCTGGAGGGACCGAGTTGATGTTGATTCCAGTGAAAATAAATCAGCAGCCTGTGTTCCCGAGGGACCGACCTTAAGATCTGCCTTGCCATATCATAAAGTTCCAAATATGAATCAGTCTTACGTGGTGAATCTGGAAATGTTAACAACCGCTTTGGAGGAATGTATGAATTGTCACGAAGGACCCCTAGATTTGAGAAACAGTTGCAACGTTCGCAGCGAAGGAGTGTGTCCAGTCATGAAAGTAAAATGTGCCCGGTGTGATCACATTAATATTCTTCGCCCAGCAGAACATCATCGAACGGGAAGAAGAGGTCCTCCAACTTTTGACGTGAATTCCCGCGCAGGTCTAGGCGCACTTCATTCTGGAATAGGACATGCCCATTACTCGGGACTACTTTCAACGATTGGAATATCGTCTCTGTCTTCGAGTAACTTTAAAAACCGCGAGCGAGAAAGTGGAAAGGCAGTAGAAGCAGTGGCCAGGGAGTCTTGTCAACGATTTAACGATGAAGAGAAGAGATTATCGTCAACTGGGGAAGAAGAAATCGTAAAAGTGGGTGTGTCGTACGACATGGGTTGGAGAAAAAGAGGCCGTAGTCATGATTCCTCGTCAGGAGTAGGAACAGCAGTAGGCTTGCAGACCGGCAAAATCATCAGCTATGCCACTCGTAACACAATTTGTCGGGTTTGTGCTGAAGCGCAAAAAAAGAATCAGGAAGCAGTCGCACATGATTGCCGCAAGAACCACCAAGGCTCTTCCAAAAGCATGGAGGCTAACGTAGCTGTCGAGTTGTTTTCTGGTGCATTGAGCAGTGGTGTAGCTTACACTACTTACGTGGGGGATGATGACAGCGCCACAGAAAGTCATCTTAAAACGTTAGTTACCTACGATATCGAGAAATGGAGTGACATAAACCATGCAAGTCGGGCGCTAGGAACGCGTTTATACGCAGCAAAAGGGAAGGTGAAAGGCCTGACACCGAATATTATATCCTACATTCAGAGGTGCTTCACTTATTGCATTAACCAAAACAAGGGCCAGCCGTTGTTGTTAATGGAAGGATTTTCCGCCATAGTACCTCACGCATTTGGAGATCACAATAAGTGCAGCGCATCCTGGTGTGGCTACAAAAAAGATCCAAAAGGTTATAAGCACGGAGATCTTCCCGGGGGAAAGGATTTGAAGGGCGAAGACGTGCGCGCGGTGCTTGAAGATGCTCTTCGGCCATTTATGTGTGAGGAATCAGCAAAGAAGCTAGCCCCTGGTGGCTCGTCACAGCGTAATGAATGCGTTAACAGCGTGGTTGGTTCTAAAGCCCCAAAAATCAGGCACTACGGAGGGTCTGAAAGTAGCGACTTTCGAACCGCAGCGGGAATCGCCCAGTTCAACGAAGGGCATAGCTACGTCACACTTGCCGCAGAAAAAATGGGTTTGTCAGGTATGTCTGTTACAGAAGAGTATACTAGAAAAATGGAAAGCCAAAGGAAGCGGAACGCCGAAAGGAAAACGACTAAGGAGTTTAAAAGGGTAAGAAGAAACTCCCGAAAGAAAAGGAATCTAAGGAAAAATTCAGTCGAAGCACGTGAGGGAGTGACATATCAAAGCGGTATTGGATTGCAGCAAACCGACAAAAACTATGTTGTTACTAACGCAACTATGACTGATCTTAAGGCAAGTCTTACTAAGGAGGAGTTTCAAGGTTTCACAGAGCCCCTTCCTAAATTGAAAAACGTAACGATACCCGAATTACCTACCTCTCCACACAACTACCTCTTCTTGTCAATGGACTTAGAGACAACGGGGCTTGAACGGAAGTCTGAAATACTTCAAATCTCATGCTCCCCATCAAATGTGGAAACTGAGTCATTTTCTGAAAACCTTTTCCCAGAACGTCAAATTATAAATCAGGCGGCGACGCAGGTGCACGGTATTAGCGTAGACTTTCGAAATGGCCGAAAAACGTTGATGAGGAGGGGACTGAACTGGCAGCCGTATCACAGACACAGGGTCTAACACATTTTTGCTCCTATCTTGAACACTACTCTCACTCAGCCAGGATTGTACTAATTGCACATAATGGAGATAAATTTGACTTCCCTGTTCTGATAAATGCACTTGAAAGGAACAATTTACTTAGAGTGTTTCTCTCAATAAATGTTTTACTTGTGGATTCTTTAAAAATTGTTTCAAAGGAAATGAAACAGAAAGATAGTCCATTGCAATCCTGCAAGAGCAAGTCCTTATCTGACCTTTATGAGTGCCTAATCAAGGAAACGTTTGACGCACATGATGCCGCGGAAGATGCTGCCGCCTTATCTCGAGTGTTATTTCAGTCGCCTTTGAAAGTCACACCTGAAAAGTTCATTGAAAACTCTTCCCCGGCAACTGCATTCGTAGAAGAAATGAAGTCTTCACAGGAGGCCAGAGCACGGAAAACAACTCTGCATCAACTGCCGGTTTCTGAAGGCATGAAGGAGAAGTTGGGAAAGGCCGGACTTGACTTGACAACAATGGAGGCCGTTTACAGAAGGGGTGGTACCAAAGCTCTGCTAGCAGTGATAGGTCTACCAGAAGCGTTCGAAGAAATAGTAGACAAAGCCAGTAAGCCAAGAGTAACCAAGAACGTAAAAATTCTTACAGCAATCGTAAATTTTTTTCCAAACAGGCGTTCTTAAATGAATGAATGTGTCAGTTATCCGAAGTCCCACTTTCTATTTTGTAGCATGTTTTCGATAATTTAAAAGGTGCCATTAAGTAGATTATTATTACATCCACGAAAACTAAATGGCTATTGTTATTATTTTAGACTTTAAAGAATTGTTTGTAACTACTCTATTCGTGTAATTAATTAAAAAAATGAAAATTGGATCGGAATGTACCGACGTTGCTAAAAGAAAACAGAAAATTAAGTAACTCCAAAGAATTTGTATTTCCTTTTTCCTTTTACAGTAGCTGTTGTTATTCAGCTTATTTTTATTCGTTCAGAGAATTCTCGAAACGAGCATGTTACATGTCTAAGGAGGTACGCGGACGTTATTCGTTTAGTTTGTGAACGTATTTTTACCAACTTTGTCAATCACACCCTCCTTCTAAGCAAGCTGTGTTTCACTTGAAATTTGCATGAAGAAAGAACATTGCTAACATGAATTTCATTAAAAAAAGAGCAGAGACAATGGTAATTTGTTTGATGCGAATATCTAAAGGCGATTACAACAAACAACCCGAGTAATATACACGATGAGCCGTGACGTTCACTGTTTCGGCTGTCACTGCTTCGGCTGTCACTGCTATCCGTGACACAAGCCAATTATTAGCATATTCGGGAAATTTCTTCGGAAAGTAATCGAGAGTCTTTTTAAATGCAAATTTATCTTTTTTGCTAGTTGTGCACGTGCATATGAAACTTGAAAACAATGCCAATGAATAATGAGGACGCTCACTTGTAAACTCAAATCTGGGGGAAAAATTACTTCTTTTGGAGGCCCTATTTAAAAGCCTTCCCTGTTTTCAATGTTCTTGAAACTTGCAGGGTGTATTTATTGACAAATGATCTCTAGATTGTCAAGTTTATAAAAAAATTTATCGAGCGGTTTTTGGAATAATGCGAAATTTGTAGGTATGGACCAAATTACGTATACAAACTGTAACAAACGCAGCCGAATGCGGGTTAATAAAATTCTTCTTTCTCGCGATCGCCCAGAGCAATTCCCCTCTTTTTTGGAAGGCAGTTTTCCATGGTATCAAACCACTATCAGACGAAGCTGCGTTTCCAAAGCTTGTCATTTTCTTAGAATATTAGCTAATTTTGTGGATAGCATGCTATTTCACCGTTTTTATGATTCTTAAAACTTCGTTTCAAAATATTTCCAAAACGCTCTCATAGAATTTGTTCAAACTTTGCCAAAACTGAGGCAATTATAACAAGTACATACTCCCTTAAGCGATTTCTTTAAAAAACTCCTGGTACAGAGAAACACCAAGATAAATGAAAAACGTAATGGCGTCATTACGTTGCTATGGTGACTCCGATTGCAAGAAAACCCAGATCATAAGAAAGTTTCATCTTTATATAATACAGCTGTGGTAACTTTTTTTCCATATCTCTACTCACGCCGACGTAGTTGACGTTCAAACTTGGGAGGTATCCCCCCTAAAAAATCCAGTCGAGCCACCTTAAATAAACTTATCGCTTTGTGTGTCTAAACTGGCGTCTATAGCAAGTGTCAAAGCAATGATGTGGAACTTAATTGTAATGCTGACAAGGAACGCAAACCTTCTTGCGTAAGGTTATAAAACACTGGCCTACGAATGTCGTACCTCAGTGAAGCGGTGTCCTGATTGGCTGATCGAAATCTTGATTAATAAGTTTCTTACACAACACGGAAAATTGAACTAAATCGTCAGCTTAGATAAAATAAAGAAATAAATAAGATTCCTCATGAGACAATGTAGAAAGTTTCTGATGGGGTTGTCTATTGACACCACCTGTTGAATGTAGCAAGCGTAGCCAACATAGCAAGGGCAAGAAGTGTAGCAAGCAAACGTAGCAAGAGAAGCAAGTATACCAAACGTACTGTAGCAAGCGCAGCAAGTGTATCGTAGCACCCTCAAGCGCAGCAAACGTAACAAGTGTAACAAGTGTAGCAAGAGTAGAAAGCGTAGCAAGAGTAACAAGTGTAGCAAGCGTTGGTAGCAAGTGTAGCAAGCAAACTTTGCAAACGTAGCAAGGGCAGCAAGTCTACCAAACGAAGAAAGCGTAGGAATTGCAGCAAGTGTAGCAAGCGTGGCAGGTGTAGCAAGATGAGCAAGCGTAGCAAGTAGCAAAGTGTAGCAGGTGTAGCAATTGGACTGATTCAATAACAATCATCTCGGGTAATTATGTTTCATTTGTAAGGCACAAGTGATTATGTAATATTGGTGAACATACTGGTAATTCGTTTCTTTTACGTTTTTTACTATAAGAGCATGCTCTCAGTAAGACTTGTTAATGTTTGCGGCACTACATTACCCTCCTAACCTTCTTAGTGCCAAGCAGTGGTGGTTTACATAAAATACTCATACATGAGGTAAGACGTTACTGTTAAAGCAAGCAATGGATACCAGGGGTCTTTATCGCGCTGCTTCCGGAGTTTAAATCACGGATCTACGGTTATATCACGGGTCTGCATTTCTCGAAACTCCCGAAAGACTATTTTACATGAACTTAGTTCATTAAAAGAAATCGGATTTCTAGCATTTTATATATTTTTAGCGAAGCGCCGGCTATAAAATGGAGAAATAAATTGGGATAGTTTGTCTAAAAAGCAAATCGCAATTGCTAGAAAACAAGCTTGAAAAATTATGTTCGGGCATGAGACTTTTCCAACAGTTTTCAGAGACGTACACCAGGTAAAGCAAAATCCTGTGGTTTTTATATTGTCTTATTCCATTACTGCGAGTTCACCGATTAAACGTCAGAAGCTCTGGGAATGTGCTGGTGTCCGGTTAATAGAGGTTTGGCTGTATCTTTGTCTACCTGTTATAAATAATTCAGCCTCCAGCAAATATGAAAGCACACAAACCACTTGCAATTGTTATGAGGTAGTTGCCTTTAGTTTTTGTTTTTCAGTTTTGCTATTTTTAAGATTTTGATAGCTTCACGATAAACAGTTAATAGACTTCTATAGACTTAGAGACTCAGAGATTCAGTGTATTTCCCCACATGGTTAGTTCCTGAGTTTTTGTCTGGTATTATCCACTTGAAGTGTTTGTTAAGCTTAGTTTTGTTTCTTTGAAGGCTTGTTTGAGGAGTACAACTGACCTTGAGTTTTACCCACAATCGAGTTCCTGTTTTGTATATTTATTCCTTCTGGGCAGTTTTAGTGTTAGCATTTAACTGGTACTGGTTCTTTGGTACTTGTCGGTTGCGGCTGTGTAGGCTTATCTAACTATAGCAAACCTGTTGCAATATAGGCGATAAGATATTCAATAGAAACTCTTCCGGTCAGCTAACCCAAACTAAGTCTACAATTTGGTTATTTAACTCGCTGTGTAAGCTAGTAGAAATTGTAGAGTTGTTGTAAGTAGCTGTTAAAGATTAAACTGCTATCTTAAAGAGAAAGAACAGAGTCTTGGTCCTCTTGTTTCAAAGCCTAGCGAGCTTCTCAAGCCCTCAACACAATCTTTGCATGATTAAAATGGACAACCTCCCTCAGTTCCAGAATATTTTTTTTCACGTGAAGTATTTGACATATATTCCTTGAAAATCAATACGTTCCCCGTCTCTATGCCCGTTTGAGGTTCCTAGTTAATTAATCTCAAAGGGGCACAAAGGAAGATTTGACAATGAATAAGGGGACGACGTTCCTACCCTTAAATTGAACTATACCGTAAAAGATCCATTAAACCACTAGGGTGTGTGTTAATTTCTTTTAAGTTTTGAGAGGGACCTCTTTTATGTCCAGAGTCAATAATAGGGTAGACTACGAAAAGTCCCCATTTTTCCTCAGAGAGACTAGAGCGAACGAAACGCGAGCGCACGTGAAAATCTCACCACGCGAGGAAAGGCGAGACGCAGCGGTAGAGAGCGTGGAGTGAGTTTCACGCGCGGTTGCGTTTCGCTCGCTCTACTATACCTGAGGAAAAATGGGGACTACTCATAGTCTAATAATAGGGAGGCGTTTAAAAAGATTTGCGTCTTGGTAAATGGATGTGCCAAAATATATACATTACGATTTCGTCCCCAATGTCAATGTCGACATAATAAAAAGGGTTCTAAACTTAGATAGAGAGCTAAGATTGATGCCCTTCCGCCTGATCTTGCCTGGGATAAAACGTTTTCAGCAAAAATAATTAATAAAAAAACCCTTTAAAGGCGTTCCCTATATTATGTGTCTGATTGAACTAGATATGGTGCGTGCTTAGTAGGGTTGGGAGTAGTATAAGGTAGGGTAGGGTTGGGAGTAGTATAAGGGTAGGGTAGGGTTGGGAGTAGTATAAGGTAGGGTAGGGTAGGGTTGGCTAGACACTATTAGTAAGGGCTTATAATCAGAAACTGCGCTTTTATTGGATTGTTCGCACTGGTGACTCATTTAACTTGAAGTTTACTCTGATGAACAAACGATTATTTTAAACTTGACTGGAATTCTGCTGCCTCATACAGAAACGTCCTTTAGGCTATTTTTCTGCTAAAATTCCCTTTATACTTTCCTCTTAGATATAACATTTAGTCATAGTTATTAGAGGAGACTGGTTATGAAAAGCGGCAAACATCAATGATAAAAACAACAGTGCTGCAGTTTATGTTCAAAGCACCGTGAAAGTGCACAATCCTTTGTTTTCTGTTGGCAAATTGTTACGGAATAAATTAATGCAACGTTTTTATTGGTCAATACAACCAAAATGATAGGAATTCTTTTGAATGTTGTGCACTTTCAGTCCACAAAAACATATAACAAAGGAGTCTGACGGGTTTCATAACCATTCCACTCAATTAACTATGATTTTATAGTGTACATTTATGTGGAGAAGGTAGGCGGCAATTTTATTTTGAGCCACTTTTGACGGAAAAAACGTGTAAATCCCTATGGCATAGCTCGTTTGACATTTGATGTCAGTGAGAATTTATCATTCAGGTATTGCATGTAACAAGAAAGAGTCAAAGCAAAATTCTAACCCATAATTTAGCCTGAAGTGT